CGTATCCTGGTTCTGCCTTGTGGTGTCCTCCCAGCCGGCCAAGCATGAAAGGCGTCCAAAGGGAGGCACACGGAGACACCTCCAACCAGGCCACATCCAGAAAGAATCCGGCTGACTCATTGAAACATACAAGATGTATCCTTAAAAATTAGAATGGGAATGCTTTCGGACTTGTGGTAGATCTTGTTGGATTTCTATTTGATCCAATATTTGGAAAATGTATCCCAATTGATCACTCCGTACAGATTGGGACAACCTCTGAAAACCCACCCTTGGCCTTGCACTGCTAATAACCCCCCCACCAAAAGAAACCTCTCAACCCGCCCCACTAAACATTTAGAATTGAACTAGGGGAGCTCCTGACCTGAGAAGAAGAAGAGGCTATGTGTTTGACTTGGGAAAAGGATTCCTGTGGAAGTTTAGCGACTGTGAATCCATCATTGTCACGGTTAAATGGGATTGGGGGGTTTTAAGGAGACTTTGTGGGGGACGGGATAACTAACACTTTCCTATTAGCAACCACCCTGCAAATCCCCGGTGGCGTTGTTTCAGAGAGGAACATCTGCTCTGACAATAGACCATCATTGAGCTGGATTGGGTTTGGTGTAATTCCAAATGACTCCAACGAAAAGCGTTTTTTTCAGTTGGAAACAAATCTGTGTAAATATTTAGAAAGAAACACAAGTCACAGTAGATTTTTGTGCAATTTAATTTGAAAATAACAACACCTTTGGACCACGCAAAATAAATGCAACCAAACAAGCAAGCAAATCAGCAATGAAGGTCAAGACAGGAAACTGTCAGCGGAGCAATTAGCAACTCAAAATCTGAATGTGGCAAACGTCCATCTGTATTTAAACAACCGTGACCAACTGAGCGTGTGCAGCTATTGAGAGCGAAGCATTTAGGCTCTCTTTCACAAAGGGCCGCGGGCTGAAACCTTACACCCCTCCCACCTTCATTATCCCCGGCACACTATGATCAGCAGCAAATGCCGACTATCCCAGAGCAGCGCTCACAAAGCATGCTGGGAAGGACAAAAGCAGACCTTCAACCGATTGGTTCCACCTTATTAACAGCTTGTAATCTTCTCATGTCTTTGGCCGGGCCTCACAGAGCAGGAGTTAGGGCCAATAGACGAGTGCGTCCTCCGTTCTTGCTTTGATGCCGAGCAGCCTTTTCCCCTCAGAAAGAAAAGTCCCGTTCTGTTATGTTTCCATTGTTGCTGCCGCACCTGTTTGCCCACAGGGACACATGGAGAGACTCAGTCACTGGCAACTGTTAATTTCTCATTAGACTCTCTGGGCGCATTGTAAACAGGAGACAGTTTTTGTATATAAAGCCCGTGGCAGGTGCTCCGCCTCGTTCCAACCTTTCTGTCAAAAACCATGAAAAGAATCAGCATCGCGGTCACAGTTTACAGATCATGAATTAATTTAAGGTCTAATTCGGGCTACAGCGGTGGTTAGATTGTAGTTTTCAAATTGAAAAGGGATCAATTTCAAAACATTCTAACGTTATTTATCTATTACTTATAGCAGAAGTGACAAAAATAAATTAGTAGAATTTCCATTTGCTGTTTTATTTTTCCGTTTTAGTATTTTTCCGTTTTAGAGTCTATGAAGACAATAGTTGCTAAGAAGAAAACCTGAAATGCATCCATGCAGGAACAATGCAGTTACCTGCGTGACGCAAGGCTGCATTAACCAGCTGCGAGGCCTCGTGGGCTCCGTATCGTCCTCTCAAGGAACCGCAAGCCAATCGAACTCACGTATTTTGATTTAAATCATGAGCTTTCAAGACACCAGAGACACAGACAGTCACATTAGGGCAAAGAAAATAGCTCTCTAAACGTTGCAATTTGTTGAGCGTCCTTCAGACCGAAACAAAATAAGTCCACACCGTTAAGTGATACACAAAAGGGTCTCCATCAGACACCTGATGTAAATTGACTCCATTAAGTCAAGCAGTCAGCAGCCAGCCTGTGGCTCAACTGTCTCTTTGTATCCGGTGATGTAGGTTTATAATTATGCCCATTTTTACTCAATTAAAGAGCCAGTAGAGGTTGTTTACGTTTTGATCTGTATTCATTTAGACTGTGAATTCTTTCGATTTTCCACAATTGTTGCTTTCATTCCAACCCAAGTAAGAAAATATTAACCCAATTTATTGTATAAAACGTACATTTTGGTTTAAATAAATATTTTCATTGTCCTAATGTCAACGTGTCATTGAGGGAGACATTGAACCCCAAGTTGTTCCCTGTGAGCAGATCACTGCTTTTAATGATTAAGATGGTTAAATTCTGCGGGTAATATATGAACCTGTCTGTATGTGAAAATGTAGATAATAAATACACTTCACTCATGAATGAATTAAAGCGTATATCGTGTCCTTTTAATGAATGCTTAAAAAAGAACAGATCTCATCAGCATTATTTTCCGTGGTGTCACTTTGGGTGTATTTTTCATCCCGTATTGGGGAATAGACCGACCCAGGAGTTTGGCCGAGGTGTCTTCCTGTCTGTCAGCCCCAGGAAATGGCTCCAAACAGACGAAGCATTTAGCTCCCAGGTGCAGACCCACCATTGGAGGGCCTTGCCCAGATGGATGGTCCTCCTTCCACCATAAAGACACTAGTCTTCTCCTGCCCTGAAGCCACCGGTGCTCCTGCCTTGGTCCAGCCTCATCAAAAGGAGCCTGGAAGCTGGAGGCGGATACGCTGGGCTGCCGCCCCAAATCAAGCTCACTTTTCTTTTCCCTTGTAAGAGGGGGCGAAAAAAAAAAAAACAGACATGGGGGGGTTGCGCGGGGGTTAGAGAGGGGAAGGGGGAGGCGGAGGGAGGGGGGAGGGTTCTGGTAGACACCAGCTTCTTTCTTTCTCCTCTTTTCTGACTTCTGCATGTGGGGCTCCTTGCAGGTGTCCCGCACCTCCCCCGACCCCCCGCACCAGATCCCAGAACACGAAAACCACCACAGCTTGTTTTCTTTCACTGCTCCGTTTATTACCCCTCATTGTCAGACAGGCACTAGAAATCAAATTGAGCTCACAGGCACGCATGCACACACACACACACACACACACACACACACGTGCACACATTCATCCTGGCTGCCTGCACTCTGTTACCCTGCAGGTGCGAGGGTCATCCGCCTGGCTCTTTTCATGGGGCCCTCCCTTTCCTGTCCGTCTGCAGCCGTCCATTCAGCTTCAATCGCAGCACCAGCCGGACGCCACCGCGGCGCTGGCGCGGCGGGGGAAGCGCCTCCGCACACATCTTTCACTTGTTGAGCGACAAGCGAGGAGCGGCTGGGGGGGGGGAAGACAGAGGGTCTTCCTCCCCTGCGTCTCCTTCTGCTTTCATCGTGAACAACTTGCTTTCTGTTTGTGACGCTGCTGTCCTTCCCCTTCTCTCCCCTGCCTTCCTTTTCTCCCGCTCAGACGGGCTTTTACAAGGAGTAGAGCTTGGGGGGGGGGGGGGGAGAGGAGAGGGGGTTCGGGGTGGTTGCAAAGGAGGAGGACGGCCAGGCTCCCCGTGCGACCGAGTGATGCTGAGGTCTTTTTTTTTGTGGCCCATGAATGGCACATTTGAGGTTTCCAGCCTTGCTCGGTGCCCCGAGCCGGCTTCACCTGTGCTCGGAGTCAATCGGGCTGTTGTCTGGCGGCCTGGAACCGCGCCAGCTCTCCGCCAGCCAATTCTGCTAGCGTGGCCCACTCAGAACCCGGCAAACAATGACCTCCACCTCAAAACCGCCAATTAACTCCCACCGCACAATGAGGCATCCATTCACCGTTTGCCAAAACTGTTCTCTGACACGATTAACAGCCATGCTAATGCCGCTAATACCTGCCCTCCGCCACACAACAACACGCTAATCATTTTAATGGCTTCCAAGTTGTTGCATGGCTGTAGAGGTGCGATCCTTAGAGACCACGGTGCTGTGTTTCTTGTGTTCCCTTTTAATTATCTTCACAAAAAGAAGAAGTAAAAAGCAGCGTTGCTCATGTTGTCGGGTGCTACAGCTGTGCCGGAGACAAACGCTATGTTAGCGGAGCGCTACAAAGCATTTTAGATCTGAAAGCACAATACTTTAAAAAAATATTTTGCTAACATTGGTAATTGCTATTTTTGTAATTGTGATTTTGTGTTGGAGTAAACATTGACGTATGGTCATCATCTTATTTCAGTGTGTATTATAGTTATTGGACCGTAGTTATATACGTTATATAATTATAATATGCGCTTTTCTAATCTTCCGATCACATAAAGCGCTATGGATGCAACATTTAGAACTCATCACAAAGTACGTTTGCACGAATTCAGTAATTTGTGGTCAATCGTTCTCTTCTTTCCTTATATTTTGAAAACTGTACATCATCTAAATGTTCCGTATGATGTTATTAATATCACCAGGAAATGCAATTCTGACAAAACAATTTCAACCTGGAAATTGAAATATTCATATTATATTTTTACTTGAAGAGATCAGATCATTTTCCTTTGAATGCTTTTTGTAATTGCAGCTTGTGATGTGTTTGAATTTGTCCTGTTTTTGTACACAAGACAAATTGTGTACAACTCCTCTAGCCAGATGTTCGGTGGGATAAATAAATATTGGTTCATGTGAGTTTCTCTCCTCCTTCTGAGATTGAAAAACGTTTTTGTAGTGACATTTTTTCAACACAAGTTCAACACAGACTTAAATGTAAACCCCATGAACAATTGAGTGTTTGAACGTTGCTTCTTGTGCCAGAGTTTCACTTCAAACTACAGGAGATACTGAATAATCCCAAACAAAATGCTTTTCGAATATGTTGCGTTGAATCGTCCCAATTTGCAATGGGTCGATTCAATGGTCGCCTCTTTCCTGCTGTTCATCATTTAGTTGACAAACACAATCAAAGTCACACATGAATATGTATGTTTCCTGAGTCTGGGAGGAGTTGAGCTGAGTTGGGGGGCGTTCAGCTCACTTTTCCTCCGTGTGAGCTGTCGTTTTCAGCAGACGCAGCTGTGGAATTGAGATAAAACTGAGCTGCCACTTTAGGGAAGCTCTCATTCACTCACTTTTGCGGCCACAAACCTCTGAAGCCTCAAGTCAAAAACGCCTGGGGTCTTTTTAACTGTGCTGGATGGCAGCTGTAAGGTGGAGGTAATGAGGTTTGGATTTTTTGCAGTTTGCACATTCTTTTTTTTTAAGTATATTTTTTCTGAAACTTGAATCCTTTTTTCACTAAGGAGAGTTGCTTGAGCTACAACCCTGAACATAACACAGCTCTGAACAGACTATGAATGTGCTGTCGAACCCGGTGATCAGGGCCCAGGAGCCGCCCCTACCTCACCGGGTCTCCGGGTCAGTCCAGGACTTCCCCCACCGCCCTGCGGGGTTCAACCTGAGCTCCCGCCTGAACCCCGTGGTGCCCGTGCTCGGCCTCCAGGGCGGCCAAAGACCAACCAAACCTCAGAGGGAGCTGAGCGCCGAGGAGCAGCAGGAGCTCAGGAGGAAGATCAACAGCAGGGAGAGGAAGCGGATGCAGGACCTGAACATCGCCATGGACGCCCTGAGGGAGGTCATGGTGCCTTACGCGTCCTCGCCGTCGTCCGCCTCCTCCCCTCCGACCCACCAGCACGGAGCTCCTCCGGGCCGCAGGCTCTCCAAGATCTCCACCCTTGTTCTGGCCCGGAACTACATCCTCCTCCTGAGTTCATCGCTGCAGGAGATGCGGCGGCTGCTGGGGGAGGTGAGCGTCGGGATGGGGGTGAATGCGGGGCCGGTGCCCCGGCTGCTGCTCACCGGAGGGTGGCCCCTCATATCTGGCCCCAGTCAGCTACTCCTTACCCAGGAGTCGCTCCTCAACTCAGCAGCCTCCTCCTCTTCATCCGCTCCATCGTCGTCTGCTGCCAAATGTCCCCTGCTGTCTCCGGGCCCCATGGAGGCGGCACTGGCTCCTGTGCATTGGGGCTCTGCAGGGGCCTCGGGGGGGCCCCTGTGCCCCTGCGGAGTCTGTAGACTGCCCAGATTCAGCCACTCCACTCCTGCTCCGAGATTCCCAAAGTGACACATTTAAATTTAAGAAAAGACTCATTTTCTTTTATACATGAATTGTTATTTTCTAACTATCTATCTATTGTTTTTTCTTCATAACATTTTGCCCTTTGAGCTTAACCTAATGGATCTACTCTGTATTTAGGAAGCTAGATTCTGTTATAAATAATAGCCTTTGTGGTTCGGAGACAACTTAGCAAGTAATAATCCTCTTGTTTCATAAGCAGAGATCTATTGGTTACTTTAATGATTCTTGTTGAAAGTGTGATCTGTGATGATTGTGTTGATGATGCGTTTGATTGAGGTGAAGCAGCTTGTTGGTTGAAAAGAAGGTCACAACATCAGGGGCCCACAAACGGAATAATAGTTATAATATAATATTGGAAAGCAGTGAAAAGCAGATCTGAGTTCCTGGTTTCCCACATGGACTCATCCTCAGCTGTTTTGTTCATTTCACATTGGGAGATTTCTGTATCAGTGTTTTTTCTGTGCTCTTCTCACTGGTTTAAAATGGCTCGCGTAATAAAAGTCACACTTAATCTGCAGGAAATACTTCAGCTTGCTCTTTGCTTGGTGTAATTAAGCAATCTTTTTTCACATACAATTATGAAGACGAAAAGTGATATAACATCACACTTCTTTCCCAGGAACTACAACCCTGTCATGGAAATGATGCTCGATGATAATTGTTGTTTCCATATTCTGTACATGTCTTCCATGTGCAACATTTCATCGATTAAGTGAAGCTCAAAACATATTTATTTACGTTTCATGAATCCTTTGAAAACAGAAGTCGTTTGGTCGAGGTAATCAAATAGTTAACAGGCCATGTGTTGTCATTGACCATAACCGTGTGCTGTGAATGCACTTTGCAAGTGAATATTTTACTGACATTCAGTGTCAATAATTTTGTAAATTGGCAGATATGTTAATAACGTGTATGTCAATTCAGTCATTATATAAAATGTTCCATTACACCCGTTCTAATTTGTACTATTGCAAAGTCCTTTCTTTATAGTTTGTCAAGATTAAGCCACCGCTTGTTGGCGCCGTCACTGTCATATTGTCCTCATTCGTGTCAAGTAAAGAGAGATCAATTGACTATGAGCAGGATCGGCTGCTTCAGAGGGTCTTCAGAAAGGATCCACTTCTAGAAACGGTGACGAAATCTTTGCATTCGTTTGGTCTTCAACGTTGACGCTGCCAAAGCGCCGGGGCTTAAAAGCCCCTTCCACCCCTCTGCGCCGCCCCAAAATACTGAAACAGTCCTCATCTCCCCCCCATTCATCACCCCAACAAGCAAAAGATCAAAACCCACCCGTGTAATTACTGCCCCGCGGAAAGGAGGCCTTTTGATTATCAGTCCCCTCTCTCTCCTCTCGTCCTCCAATTCTTGATGTTTCTCTGTTGAGAGGAGCCCGGACGGGTGATTCGGTGCTCCCCATTACGCTCACTCCACAATATGTTCAAACGCCCAGAAAATGTGTCCCGCTGAATGGAGGCTCACTCCTGCGGACTGGCCACCCCAGTGGAACGAAGCGGGCAGCCTCATTCTGGGCGAGAATAAGAGGCGCCGGCAGGAGGGAGGACGTCCTCAGCCGCAACCCGGCCCTTAGAGCGGCCTGCATGAATAATAATAATGGGAATAATCATAATCATAATGCTGATAAAATACTCAAAATAATTGCCATCCCGGAATAAGAGGATTACAGAGGGTGAATATGTGAATGGTGGCGCGTGAAAGGACGGGAATCTATTAGCGTCCGTGAGGACAAAAGAGGAGCTCGATGCCATTAAGTGAGATTAAGCTAAATAAGGCTTGATTTTCTTACAAGGAACAAGGAGCAAGGAGAAGAGGGTGGGAGTGAAGGAGGAGAGGAGGGGGGAGGCAGGGAGGTGTAGCCTGATTCATAGATCAAAGTGAGATGGCCCAACTCCACGTATTTCATTAACATATAGCTGCTTTATCTCTGGAGGGATTAGCTACCTTGCTATTTTCTCCATTCGGCCACCTTTTGCCCAACAACCCATTTCCTCCTGCTCTCAGGATGGTTCAGCTCTTTTTTCTCCCTTTTTTTTTTTTTTTTTTTCTTGAGTTTGGCTCCTTAATTTCTCCCCCCTCTCGTTCTTTGCCCTTTTCTCTCGGTTCCTCCAAGGGGCTCTCACTTTCTCCAGTTTGGCGGTGTCATTGTGGCGGCGACGCAGGGGTCTGGTCAGTCTTTGTGTTGGCACTTTAACTCATCTCCATTTCATCACCGTTGTTCAATGGGGCGAGGAGGGCTTGTGAGACAATGCACACACACACACACACACATACACACACACACAGCTCAGCACTGAAGGCTTCTCACTCCTGTAATACGTACAGCGCATCCAAAACAAAAGAGTATTACGAGTTATAAACAGGTGTTTAATGTAAATGAATACTGAGTAAAGCTAAAGCAAACACAAAGACTTTTACCAGATTTCCCCAATAATCAGCTCACTCTTATTCATACTCAGAGCTAGTATTGCTTATTTTGTAAATTATGTTTAGTTAATAAGTTGGCAAGTAGAATCCAGTTGTGGTTTGTTGGGCTCGCCATTGATTTGCCGCTATGTTTATTCATTTATTTTCGGTTTGGTGCTATTTTAGTTGTTTCCTCTTCAATGCAGGCCAACAATTTGATACCTTATCAAAGAGGAAACATCCCAAGTAGGCAGAATAAGAAAGTAGCGAGGACGGGCGTCTCTCTGCAGTTACAGACACGGTACTAAACTGACGCTGTTGAGCAGGAATATTTTGGTATGACTCAAGGTTGTTTATTAGTCATTGTGTGTTTAACTCTGCACAAACTCTTTCTCTCTGGGAGTCATATGGAAATTCATCATTTCAGTTAGGAAATAAATCCCCAACAAAAGAATCTTTTTTTTTTGGCAACAATTTAGTGTGTAAATGATTATGTAAATGGTTCTGCTTGTCGTCTTGAAAAGCCTCTTCACGGAGGGACAAAGTACTTTGCATTACATTACAATGAAACGACTATTCAACCTTATTGCCGGACTGTAACAGACAACCTTAATAGCCAAACCAGCATTTTCAAATCCGCGCGCCTGCTGTACAGTGAGCATGGCACCCTAGGCCGCTGGTTACCATAGCAACTGTACACGCTATAGCGATTCAGCCTGCCACTTCTGGTGAAACTTAACATAACAATGGATTAAACTGGCCACAAAAAAAGGCACTTTCCGTGGTACGATTTTTCTTTATATGTTAACCACATAATCGTGAATGAGGAAAAGCAAACTTCAACCCACCTAAAACTTATCTACATTTTTAAGACCATTTCCGAAACCTTCCCAAGTAGTTTTGTTGCCTAAATGTTTCATGTGAAGCAGAAGTTTACTTTGAAAACACTGTATGCATTTGTTGAGCAGAAATTGGCCCACGGGGCCGTAATGGCACGAGAAGTAGACTTTTCGTAAGATGCCATGAGGATGCAGGAGGATACGACGCCTGATGTCACTGCATTAAACTGCCATGGAAATACCTGCAGGCGCCTCCACAAGAAGAACGTGATGTAGATGTTCATAGTGGATAATAATATTATTTATTAAACATAATAACAATATGTGGTTAATTTCCCTAAACTTAGTTACTGTGGTTGATGAACGTAACTCAGATATGTAGAATCGTCTTTTATCCACGTTCATTCTCTTCTGGGCTTTGGAAGCACGTTAACGCACACTGCAGTGTTCTGATGACGAAAACGAATGAACAACGCAAAGAAAGTCAGGACACTTGTTTACTAATGTAACATATGAAAGAAGAAACCGTTTGTGTGTCGCGCAGACGTGACATTTACATTTCTATCCATAATCAACTGTAAATAATGATTGTGGGAGGAGCTTTGTTCTAACACTCGATGTGAAGACACAAACATTTGCCAGCTAAAAGTCTTATAAACTAAAAAACAGCTGTTTTATATTTCTATCCATTTGGGGATTTCTGCCCTTGTTGTGTGTATCCACGCAATGACTTTATATTCCAACATGTGTCTCTAATGTGGACGGTTGACATTGTCTCCCACTGTCTCCTACCCTGCAGCCTCTCATCTCAGAGTGTTGTTTGCCTGCGGCCTTTGTCGGGCAGTTTCATTGCACTTAACCAGTCAACGTGGGGAGTCCTTGGCTTAGGAAGTCCTGAGCCATAAATTTCATCTCCACAATGAGCGGAGCAAAGGGGCTGGTCAGGACCCCCATTTACTTTCTAACCCAGCTTTTATTCATTCCCTCCCTAAATAACATCAGGCCCTCCTGTGCCGTCCCACCCCGAAATTCCGGCTCCCCTCTGTCACCCCTTCTTTCTCCTACCGAGCCGATACAACGGGGTTACCGCCGAGCCCGCCGGCCCGCTCATTAAGCATCGTGTTCTCTCCCACCCATCCCTGCCCTCTGTCCTATTCACGCCGCGCTCCTCATTACAACTTTACAGGCCGCCATCAACCGTCACCTCATTACCCCGATCGGCCGGCTAAAGGACGCGCTGGTGTGTGGTCACAGGGGACACTTTGTCTTTGCGAAAATCTGACGTTATCCCTCAGTCGTTTTTGGAGCCGGGTTTCAGGGGAATTTTAGGGTGGGATTGAATAAAGGAAGGTGCAGTCGCCGTATCACCGAGAATGTGTCATCATAACAGAATGCGTCACGGTGCTCATCACATTTTCTCCCAACACACAACAATTTTGGAGATTTAAGGCAATTTAGCACTTAAACACAATGATGAATTTATTTTGTGGCCTCTGGTGCTGAGATCAGAGCAGACGTGTTCAGTATTATTATTATTATTATTATTATTATTATTATGGTAACGCACACATACAGATGCACGGCATCGTCATCCACATACATTCTCATGATTATGCACTCATTTGCAATGCAAAGAATAGGAGGTATATCAGATAACTACCTGTCTACCGCACATCCAGATTCAAACGATTTCTAATATAAAATGATCAAATCAGATATCCGAGGCAAAAATAGAATATAAAAGACGGACTTCTATTGGAATACTCCATCTCCACTTTGAACCTGTGAACATGAATCAAGGTGCATCCATGTTCGAAAGAGGTTCTCCACTTGCACACAGTGCACAGGACATTAAAACGTACGCATCCATGTGCCAGAACACATTGAGCACAACACGTGTTGCAGGTGTGCATGTTGTGAGAAAAGAAAAATCTCCGATCATAGAAACCTGACACCACACAGCGGCGACCGGATATAAATATATATATTTGGTGCAGTTTGAAAATGAGTGCAAACGAGGCTCCTGGTCTCATCTAAAATGTGTGTGTGTGTGTGTGTGTGTGTGTGCGCGAGTGTGTGTCGCTCTGGTAATGAACCCCCCGGCCCTCGGTTTGCCCTCTGAACCCCCGGTGGCCTTGGAAGCAGGAATTCCAGTTAACACATCACAGATCTGTTGTCTTTTCTTCTCGGTTTTGTGTTTTCTGCCGCCGCTGCGGCCAAACGGCGGCTGGGTGTGTCGACGAGGCCTGACAGCCACCAGAGCCTCTCCCTCCTCCGTTTTCCTGTCCTCTTTCTTCCCTTCCTTTCTATCGGCCCTGTGTTTGGGCTCCTCTTTCTTGCCTCCTTTTCTGCTTAATTGAGTTGTTTGGCAGGCGGGCTTGTCAGACAGCGGCGTCTATGTGGGGAGTCTGAGGGGCAGGGGGGCACCGGCCATTGTGCTCCCAGAGACGGGTTAGTTTTTCACCGTTAATGCCGCATGAGTGAACATGGCCCAGATTAGGACGAGGGGGAGTGGGAGTGGGATTTAGAAAACATAGTGGGTCTGTTTTTCTTAAATATTTGGTCATTTGGAAGAATATATGTGTCCCTTTCAGTCTTGTCTGGCGGAAATGCATTTATTGGCTTAGAAAAAAAAATGAAAAACTCTGAAAATACAAAGGAAAGTCGTTGTTAACCATGATTTACAAATGAGATGAAAC